CAGCAGGACACGGTTCCAATCAACGCCAAGTCGAAACCAAGATCAAAGCCTTGAAGAGATTTTTATTATCGAAGAAGGGACCTTTTCCTTCACGCAACCAGGCCTTGGCTAAATGGGGAATAAGTAAATCTGTTTGGGAGCGACTGAGAAAAGAGTTTTTGGCTTCCCAACCTGATGCATAGTCGCCTGTTGATTGTCTCACGCGGTAGCACGTGGCTGTTGCCTGGAAAGATGAACAAGCGTATTCGATGCTTTCCACGTTATGCAAATTCAGTTTCGAGTCACTTAGTTTTCGCCCTTATGAGCTCTTTCTTTCTAGTGCATTAAACAAATTCGGCTTATAAGAACGGCTATCTGAGTGGTGCATTAAGCAAATTCAGTTCCGGGTTCTTGTGAATGAGATGGTGTATTAAGTAAATCCAGCTTCAAGTCCTGCCTGTCTAGGTTATGATGACAAGAGGAGATTCTATCAGAGTATTGCAAACAGCCTTCTAAACCCTAAAACTTTTGAAGAACAAATGCTGGAAAGATACATGTTGCTTTGAGACCCCTTTGCAAAACGAATGTCTGAAGCTATACTTATAGCCCCAAGGAAGCTTTGGAGTTTTATCAAAGTACTTCCAGCAGCCTTCTAAACCCTAAGACCCCTGAAGAACAGATGCTGGAAAAAGACTTCTAATTGTGGGAACCCTAGTAAAACAAAGAGTCAATGTATACTTGTAGCCCCCAGCAGCAAGCTTCGAAAGTCGAAGGCCGAGTCTACAATGACGCTGTGAAAGTTTCAAGATGCTAAGCTATTGCGCGAATCTGGAACAAGGAAGCCTTTCATTTTCCGCTTTATGTCGACACAAGAAGAATATAACATTTCTCGCAAAAGGAACAAGCATCAATGTGGCCTTGCAGGAGCAAAGCGCCAACCAGCGAAGATGCGACGACACAGCGTTCACAAAACTGAGCGAACGAGTTCGCTTAGCTGTCCAAGATGATTGTGTATATGTTTATGTATATGTATGTGTGTATGCATGTGTATATGTATATGTATATGTATATGTAGATGTAGATGTAGATGTAGATGTATATGTATATGTATATGTATATGTAAATGTATATGTATATGTATATGCATATGTATATGTGTATGTGTATGTGTATGTGTATGTATATGTATATGTATATTTATATGTATATGTATATGTATATGTATTTGTATATGTATATGTATATGTATTTGTATATGTATATGTAAATGTAGATGTATATGTAGATGTAGATGTAGATGTAGATGTAGATGTAGATGTAGATGTAGATGTATATGTATATGTATATGTAGACGTAGAGGTAGATGTAGATGTAGATGTAAATGTAGATGTATATGTATATGTAAATGTATATGTATATATATATATGTATATGTACATATGTATATACGTATATATGTATATATGTATATACGTATATATGTATATGCGTATATATGTATATATGTATATATGTATATATGTATATACGTATATATGTATATATGTATATACGTATATATGTATATACGTATATATGTATATATGTATATATGTATATATGTATATATGTATATATGTATATATGGCAAAATATATATATATATATATATATATATGTACGTATATGTGCTGTCAGGCTCTTGTGCCCCTTTGCTCTTGTGCCCTTGTGCCCGTATGCCCTCATGCCCTTGTGCCCTTGTGCCCTTGTGCCCTTGTGCCCTTGTGCCCCTGTGCCCTTGTACCCTTGTGCCCTTGTGCCCTTGTGGCCTTGTGCCCTTGTGCCCTTGTGCCCTTGTGCCCTTGCCGTGCCCTTGTGGTGCCCTTGTGGTGCCCTTGCCGTGCCCTTTCCGTGCCCTTGTGCCCTTGTGCCCTTGCGCCCTTGTGCCCGGGATCACTGGGGGACCTCTCTCTTGTCTTCCGCGAAAACCTGGGTCGCCGTCGCTTAGGTAGATGTGGTCGTCTCGTCATCTTCGTCCCGGCTTCTTGCCTATACGTCTCAGCACTTGGGTCCTAGTACCCGTTCTCCTCTTCGTGTTCGCCGAAGCCCATGTAGCCCGCTTGATGCTTTCAAGCCAGCGAAGGAAAGGTTCAGTCGACTTTTGCAGCATGCTTAGCACGGCCTTGTAGCCGTCGGCACCAAGCCATCCACCACCGCCTTTGCCGTCAAGACCTTTGCAACCTTTAGCCCTTTCTGCTGGCACATCCGTAGCCGCTCGCCGCAGCTCCAACTCCCCAAGGTAGCCCCCGAGACTGCACTGGTGAGGTGGGTCTTTGTCTCGACAGATGATAGACCCATCCGGTATCCGAGGTGCCGGCTGCACTGGCCAATGGGGTTCACACTCCAAACTCACCGTCCTCAGCACTTTCACAACCACTCCACAGGTACCCGGCGATGAGCAGTTTCTGCATCTCACCATGGCAGGCAGCTTCGTTGGCTCAGGACTTTCAACTCTGCATGTGCAATCTTTCTGGTCTTAGCCGCACACGAACAAGTTCTCCACAGAGGCAACCGCAAACAAACAAATAAACAAAAACCACCAACCAACGAACAAACAAACGAACAACGAAAAAAAAAATAAAAAAAAAACTAGCACAAACCAGTATGCACAAAGACGGTTTCAGTGGGTAACTGTGGGTAACAAAGCATTTCGGGGCAAAGGCTACATGATCTCACCTGCAATTGGCAGACGACAACACTGGAAGACAGGCTAATCCTGCAAAGGCTTGCAGCCACCGGCGCACCGTCAAACGCATGAACCCCTCAAGCCAAACCTTGAACGAGAACCGTTCCTCATTTCTACAATCAAACATGCACTGCAGCACTGTGCCGAGTCGCGCATCTGGCAGAATAAAACCAGCCACCAGAGTAAATCAAGACTCCCAAAGCCCCCAAGAAAACTGCCAAGTCGGTACCCGTGCCCGAATCATCAGAGCAAGGCCCGGGTTTGATATCAGATCCGACTGCAGTCGGCAGGAGACAAGCTCAACTGCAGCGAAGACCACTGCCGCAATAAACGCGAATATGAGAAGCCAGTGGTAAGCCATGATGATCATCCCGGGGTGCTCTTCCGATTTACCAAAAGCAGAAATGCCAGAAGCCTTCAACAGGCTCAGCAGCATCCACTGCGAGAGCCAGAATAAACGAGGAATTGGAGGCTCCAGCTGCACGTGGGGTTCCTCGACTTGCTCTTCCGGAAGTTTGCTAAGCATCTTCCCCACAAAGTTGGAGAACTGTACACCCTCATCGAGCGCCGCTTCACGACAGAAAGAACGCCGTCTGGAGGGGCGTTTGTGGAACGCAGGCAGATCCACCGAGCAGTCAGCTTCCGGCAAAATCTGCGCAGGCTTCGGGGCATCCGGAGGGCCGTGGATCCTGTTTGAACCCTTAGCCTTAGGTTTGACCGACTCGATTGAGCCGTCAGACTTGTCACTGAAGGCACCTGTCACACTCTTGACAGGCGTACCGGTCCGTGGCTGTAGCTGTGGCGTACCGGTCCGTGGCTGTAGCTGTGGCATACCAAGGGCACCACTCTGCAAGAGCTTGCGGTTGTGCCTGCTGGCCCAACTAGAATCCCTCACCGGTCTGGTCTGGGATGACCATGTCTGAGTTGACTGCATTCCCACAGCCAAACCTTTTGACAATTGATCCTGCAATGTCTGGATCTCTCGAGCCCGTGTTACTCGATCCCGAACTTGTCCGTGAAGCAACGCCAACCTTTCTTCAGCAGTAGGGCATGGCAAAGTCGTGACTGTACGGCACTCTATAAACGGCATGAAACAAACAACGGAAGACCGGAGACAAGGCACAACAGACTTCGTACAGAGTCCTGACTTTCGGCTTGACTCTGCTGCACCCACTCCAGTATCGCCTCGAACGCATCGTCCACCTGGAACCAAGATCGAACAGCGACTTTAGAGACTGGGGCCGGTCGCACACAACGACTCACGACGTATTTCGGAGCCGAGGGCGCTTGAGAACGCAGGCACAGCATTTCACATATCTACGTACAATCTACAAATCGAATCCAGCTACAGGAAGAGCCGACTGTGCATTGACACCGAAGCGCCTCTCTCTCCAGTTCGGTGCTTGCCATGCTTTTCTTTGGCAAAGCCTGCCGGCGTGGAGAGTTGCGACGAGTCATCGGTGGTTGCAGGGTCCACGACGAGTGCAACTCCAAACTCACAACCGGCACCTTTGAAGCGGTCATCGCAACAACCTGAAAGGGAACCATCAACACCCTGAATGAGCCTTGGGAAAGACACCACTGCTTGCCGCTGAAGGCTGCGCGTACTCGGAAGAAGAGCTCTGCGCAAGGATGTCTGAGTGCCCTCCTTAGATACTCTTTTAGCACCCTCAATGAAGAAACTAAAGTTCGAGGGTGAGAAAGCAGGGACAGTGCCAAGGCCCAGAGCAGTGGTCAAGTGTGCTCGACTCTCGCTCATACTCGCTCTCTGCTCAAGCACCGCACAGCAGCCTAATCCAAACATCCTTTAAGCATGACTCAGCTAGAAGGGGAGGATACCCTCAGCGCGACGAAGCGCTTCCGTTCTTCAACCAAAACACGAACTGCGGGAGCTAATTTGTACTTCATTGGTTGGGTGTGACATGAGGCTTTGACTTTGTCTTTCTTGTACCGACTCCTCTCCGGCACCTAAACGAGATCCGGACAAGTAGCCTGAAATTCCAGCCATGGCATGCAGAGACCTCTCCAGACTGCTATGCCTTTTGGCAATAGGCCTCGAGCCACGGGGGCCCTCGGACAGCGTTCAATTCGAGGCCACACCCTGATGTCCAACAGCTAGACAACTCTTCAAGGCTGCAACTCCTCACTTGGTGAAAATGCGAATCGGCAGATGGAAGCCGAAACCCTCAAGAATCCAGGGATGGAACTCCCGCAGGGGCTTCCACATCCATCCACATCTGAAGCTTAAGGATCAAGACTTGGACTTGGCTTTGGAACCCTGCACATGTTGCATCGCCTGCAGCTGCCGTCGGCGCCGGCCGGAGTCCTCCTTGCCCTGCCTTGATCGAAAACGCACTGTGAAATGGGAAGACCGGTGTACAGCCTATCCTCCCGTGGGCCTTCGGTTCCTGTGTTGGCATTGATGGGGCAAGTCTGAGACGCAAGAAATTGTGTTCCAGCCATGAGTCTCTTGTAGTTCTTGCTTACTCCACACGGCTCCACTTTTCAGAGACATGCCGCAGCTTGCATGATTTGCGCATTCAAGTGGAGCGATAACTCGTGATGTTTCCAGAGGTGAGATCGCACATGCATTTGCAGACTGCGGGTCCAATGTACCCCGGCCGGGGGGGCGCCCCCGAACCACTTGAAGTCTGAGACGCAGGCATGGCCAAGGCCTGGCAAGAAATCTGCCAAGATCACGGCTGCCACGCTCGCGTTAGCCAATGAGACGACAGAACGAACAGGACTTGGCAACAGCAGGACGTCTAAATAGCATCTAGCAGCCATCTAGCCAAGTCATTCCCTCCAAACATCTCCAAACCGAAGCCCAAATTCTTGGCCTGCTTCCAAAAACGACCCTTCCTAAAGAATGACGAGGTCTGCATCTCGGCCTTGAGCAATTGCACAATGATGGCAACGAATTCCTCCCTCTCAATGACCCCATCCTGCCGCAGCAGATGTCGAGCTATGGCTACCGTGCCCTTCCGGTGCTCACCATCGGACTCCCCAGTCGATGCATGTTCGCATAAGTCTCGCAAGTCGCACTAACGAGCTCAGACCACTTCAGCGCTGTCGAACTCTTGTCCCATGCTCTGCCAGGGTGGGAGGTTGAGAGCTTCGCTTCTTGTTCTCGTTTTGTCGATGTGTCCTCCATGGTTGCTGACTGATTCCAGTGACCGAGGATGTCTTCAGCCATCTGCGTGTGCAAGATGTGGACAGATCCGCAACAACTCCCTCTCTCTGAGAGTTGCCAACTCCCCTAAAAGCCTATGGGCTCCCGCATCGGAGTCCAGCACAAGCACCGAGGTTGCCCTAACGCAGCACTTGCTTGCAGGAAACGGCCCAACACCTCAATCCATGAATCCATGAAGCTCTGTTTGGTGCGTTCTTCCTCTCCGGGAGGTGCAGACTGAGCAGCAGTTGGCACCGAGACAGGAAACGAGGAGGACCTGATGCAAAAAAGAGACTCTGCGACGACCCGACATGTAGCGACGAGGAACGAAAAAGCCAAATGAAGTGCCAACCAGAAACGTCGATCCCGACAGCGGGCAGACACGAAACACCACAAAGTCCTTTAGTTCGTGGCTGCCTGAAATATACGGTCCTCGAACTCCGCATCCTGAAGGGTTCGTACTTGCTAATCCAATCAACCGAGCAGTCGAGCTTTTGGAAGTCACATCACAGTGCGAAGGTGTCAGCGACAGTAAGCAAACACACAAGGCGCTCTTCGTCCATGCCGCCGTTTCCCCTTAAAGAGTCGCAGTTCGAGAGCATCATTTACGCAACGTAGCATGGGAAAGCTAAGAAAAGGTGCCACCAATTCCGACAAGTGTCAAGACAAACACCACTGTCTATGGGGCATCATTGAGACGACACCCGGGTCCAAATATAGCTGTGCAACATATAGATGTTGAAAAAGTAGCTGGGGGTAAGTGGCAGAGTGCAAGGGACATTCAGTTGAAGTTATCTGCTCAGTACTAAATCTTGTCTCACGCAGTGAATCTCCGTGCTTTTCCATTGCCTACCTGTCACTGCACCGCTTCAGGATGTGCAAGGTTTGTTTCGGTGCCGAACTTTGGGACTGCATACACCATCACTCTGCGGTGTCCTGTGTTTACTATGCGCAGCGCTACGCTCAAGCCATCTTGCTGCTGATTTCAGCAGCTGCACAGCATAGAGGATTCACATTCCCCCTGCTCTCGACGAGAGACTGCAAGAGTTGCAGCATTTTCATAAGAATCTGCACTCTGCATTCCTGGTTGCTCGAAAACGCTATACTTTCACGCGCATGAACCGCGGAACATCGTCACGTTCGGGCACCACAAGCTTGTGTTCGGGCTTTTCAGCCGGGGGGGGCTGAAGCGGGATCTAGCTAGCTGGATACAGTGCCAGTCACATGCGTGGGGCCGTTAACAAGTTGGGCGAATGGCTACTTTCCAGGACGAGAGCAGGTCGTTCTTTCACTCAACCGACTTCGAACTTGGCTCCTGCCGACTGACGCACTGTGCTAGAACGGTCTTAACGTGTACCCTGCAGGTCCCCAGTCCCCGTTCACATCGAGGATGTCGAAGGGCTGGGCGACTTCCAGTGCCGGGCTTCGGCCACAGTGTACTCGAAGCAAGACGCGCGCCTGCCCCGAGCACAGCCCAAACCGAACTTGACCCAATGTATTTAGCCCGACGTGCTTGTTGAAATCTAGCACGGGCAGGGGAGGGCAGGTGAAGGATCACCTTCTCCTCGAGCTCTTGCTTCGTGATGGCTTCCTGCTGCATTTTCTGGTAGAATCGAAAACTTGCCATGCACCGAAGCACTGCTGCAGGTGGCCTTTCGAAAGCACGGTCAAGTGAGACGAAATAACCGGGACAGCCAGGAGGTCCTTGCCACCTCCAAGCTCAGCAAAGAGACGCTCCGGCGACCAAGAATTCTTCTCCATCACCTGCCGACATGCGAAACATGCCGAGCAGGCCACAGTTGGGATTGCGTATCCCCTTGACCACGCCTTGACCAGATCCCTGAAGAAGTGGCTGGCGTTCCACTCTGCCATGGACATGTCCTGCTCGGACTTGAGGAAAAAATTCGCTGCCTCGCGCATCTGCCGGCTGTTCGTGCATGACTTTGTGATCTGACCGATTCTGACCGCTCATACTTCTCAGAGATCGGGATCCCTCCAGCCGCATTGATTTCTCGCACATACGGGCCAGTGCCTAATACCCAAACGCTACCTGTATTACTCGTGAGAATTCCCATCCTGCAAACACAAGAACCGAGGCGTACAAAGTATTGTGACGTCCGTCAAGTGCCGCATTCTGCTGGCACTGCCAGCTTTCTACTTCGACCTGCGACTTCTTCGGCTAAACTTTGCTGACACTATCTCAGATTTTCGGAAGTTGTTAGTAGGCGTGTTGGGCGGTATAACCTCCTATCTGTAAAACATCTGGCAGCTACTAGCACTGCTAGACACAGTGGCGCGATGCTGTGTTAGAATACCACACAGGAAGGAACTAGCGCTGCCACGACGATCAGCACACAACTGCCACCAACGGCACCAGCACTGCTGCCACGCCCCATAATCCAGCGGCAGAAAATCGCACGATACGAAAACGGTCCGCCATTGCACCTACGACTACCACGGCTGTGACACTGGGATCGAGGCAAGGTCCAACTTGTGCTTCTGCTTCGCGATGACGGCCAGAGCCTGACCACTTTCTAACTGCGAGGCTGTGGTCTGAGACCTGCTGTCACACTCGCTCGGCATTCGGAATGGTCTCGCTCTGTAGCTCATGCCTGATGCAGTTCCCGCGGTGCTATAAGGCCCTTGTCGGCAGACATCAGAAGCGGCAGCAACCTGCCACTGGGGCGTCGGCACAAAACAAGGCAATTGGCTGCGGCACATTGAACTAGGGATCGTCGCCTGCGGGAATTCACGGAACAGTCGCCACTGGGTACGCACCGGCCTGCGAAGCTCCTCGTCGCTGGGCAGGTTCTTCAAGCGCATGAGTTTCACCCCTGCAAAGCAGTGGGACACATTTGAAGCATTGGCACCCAGTACATCACGCAGGTGCAAGCTGCCTTCGATGAACTCGCGCGTGCTGATCAAGCCGCTCGCGTTGATGTCCTGCAGCCGGCACAACCCTGCAAGCAGCTTGGAGTTCCTATGTACGACACTTCCACAGCTCGCCCTATCCCGGCGTGGCCAGATACGAGCAACATCGCTCCAGAAAATTGAAGACGTCGGCGGGCGTCCACATCCGGTCCTCTCATCATGCGACTCAGACTCCAAAATCAAAAGCATCGCACCTCAAGCATCGCACCCGACAACAGATTCGGGGCGTCTGAGTTTTTTAGCGCGAAAACGCAACTTAGATTTCGTGGCGTGCGGCTCACTTGCAGCTACCTGCTTGTCCAGCCATGCAGTTTTCGTCGCTCAACTCCTTCATCCAGTCGTTGATGGCACTCAGGATGCAGACGCACTTGGACTCCTGATTCGAGCTCTTATACGAGCCGCTGGACACGAATGCCCCACTGCTCTCGACTGCTCGGGTGTTGGCGCATGCAGCTGTCGTGCATGAGCTCCACGTCCGGTCCTGCTCACTGTGATGAGCAAAGTCGTGCGTCAGCCATCCCAAATGCCTTGCAAGCGGAGCTGTTCCGGCTCAATAGTGCTTTGCCCGAAGTACAGACAGTCCTACTTAAGTGTGCTGTACTCAGCATGCAGATCCACTCCTCTGGGCTTTGCTCTCTGAAAAATTAGGTCTTCACCAGATTCTGCTCCCAGGATTGTTGGATTTCACCCTGTGCCACTCGACTTGCACCGGTAGATTGGCAAAGTCTTTCGATAACCGAGAGAACTGGAAAACGAGCGTAACATCGGCATGGAACAGCTTCAGCTGAGGCTGAGGCATCGGGACCTGCTGCCCGTTCCAGAAGATCTGGTTCGGTGCATCTGCTTGCTTGCCTTGTGGCTGTGATTTTCTGCACGGGGTGGAGCTTTAGTTTTTGCAGCGCTCTTCCGCCGCTGACCTGTCCGCCGCCTCGCCCCACCCGCACCGCACCCCCATGCGCAGCACCCCAGGCACACGCACCACTCGGCCCCGCCCCTTGAAACCTTTCTACCCCCGCCACCCCTGTGAAGCCTCTAGAAGAGTTGGTTGGAGAGACGCGGGGGCCGCCCCCCTTAAGGCCTCTAGAAGGCACACGCGGCACACCGCACGCAACACACAGCACACACCACACCCACACTAAACCTAGACATAGATTTGAGCGCACGCAACACATACAAATGTAGATTGGTGGGTGTTGGTGCGTTGTGGACATGTTGGCAACGGAGCAAGGTGCCTGTAGGTGTCTGCAACCTGCAAGACTTGAAAACTAGCTCCAGACGTCCGCCAGAAGCGAGACAGGCCTATTAAGCATTTCTGGGCATTCGGCTGAAGACCACAAGGCGTCCAATAGGGCACAAACTCTTGCCCAGCTTGCTAAGATGAAGATAGCTCTGTGTCGTGGCGTGACTTGAAAACACGGCCAGTTATGCCAGAAACAGCCTGAGAACCCTCGCACATGCCGGGGCCCTAGCGAAGCTTCTTCGGTGAGATGCGTTTCTTCTGCGAGCTCTTCGTGGGCGCAGGGCTTGCACCACGGTCTGTCGAGCTGCTCTTGGCATCCTGCCAAGCCCCAGGGGGGGGTGAACCTACACCTAGATGCTTCCTCAAAAAGCCAAGCAAGTGCTCAAACGAAGGTGTATGGCACATGTCGTGGTCTCACGCTTTTCGACCGTCCCCGTGTGATCATGGTCAGGCAGCGTCAATGGTTCTCCGACTCTGCATGTCATTCGGCAGCTTGCCGCAGTTGGGGACCCCACCTACTCCCCAACAACAACTCCTGCTTTATGCCAACAGCTAACCACTAGCACCAACGTGTCCTGCTTCTCGCCTTCTGCTGCGCACAAGCCGTAGAGCTGCCTTACAAAGCGAAATACGTCCTGGTTGGGACGCTTCAGAAGACACTCATGGCCACCAGCTGCCGCACCAGAGATCGTAAGGCTCGGGCTGTATGGTTTGCAGGTCTACGACCGAAGGAAACAATCCAAAGTCGAAGCAGAACCTGCTCTAGAGCGTTCGGAAAAAACACCGACTGCGGGTTGTGAACTACAGCCTCAAGAATCCAGATATGCTCATCTGGCTCGCACATGCTGAGGTCGGAAAGTCGTGATACTTGTTGAAAAGCACCTCGCGAAACAAACTTCAAGCAAAATGCACACATGTCCCGAAGATAATGCTGTCGTAGACTTTGTCCGGATCGTGCACGTTTAGGCTTAAGAATGTACGAATCCAGTAGCTATCCTGCCACTTGACACTTGCTTCAATAATGTTCGGCCAAAACTTGCACGCCGCCTGGAAAATTCCGAGGAACATGGCCTGAGCGGGCACAACGAACAACAAGGCGCGAACTTTCTGGCACAGAGTGCCTTGGCCTTCACTCTGTTACCTCTCTAGATACATTAGTATACCTTTACTAGGTGTCGTTTTCTTAACAGCTCCCAAAACTATTTAAGAGTAGGGTTCTATACTAATTAAACACTAAGGGAAATCAAACATTATCCCAAATCGATGCCTAGTTTAGCTTGACTTCCGCTTGCAGGCCAGTACCAAAAGGAGGCATCCGCTGAGTACCACACTCCAAAACTGAGGATCTCTGGCTCAAGCATCTGGCTTTGCAAAAACTCCGCCTGCTCGGTGTCTGCTTCACTTCCACGAAATGGTCCAAAGATTCAGCATGCGAAATCCCAGCAGGGCCACAGCAAGAAGTTCGTGTAAGCCGCTCGCCTTGAGCATCTCAGGCGGTAGAGGCTGTAAGGCACTTGGAGGCTCGTTGTCCCTGGCTGGCTGGACCCTCTCTGGTACTTGTGGGAATCCAAAGCAAACCCATAAGACCAAAACCCGGTCCACACCCACGCCGCAGCCTGAAGAATGCAACCCTGCCAGATGGCCACTGCGAAGGAACTTGGATGTGACAAACCAGCCGCCGGCACGGCTCGTCCTCGACCTTCGCGGGTGCGCTCGTCTGCGGAGGCACTCGCCTCGTATGCTGCTGCAGCACCCATACGGCCAGCAGTGCAGCCCCGAACTTCGGCGCCAATCAAGATGACTGAACAAGAGGCCGTGTGCGAAACCAGCTTCGAAACCCACCGCCCTTTCAGCCTGCCGCTTTGGCTCCGCGATCGCGGGGTGCGACGCCTCCATGTTTCTCTCGATCAGTACTGGTGCATTCGACCCAGCACGCACAGGCCTGTTTGTGGGCGACGACGTTTGCGATGGTGCCTGACATGGAGCCCAGCCACCCAGACAGTTTCCAGCGGCTTGACGCCTTGGAAAAGAAGACATACAAATGGGGCCCGGTTTTTCCGTTCTCCACCGAAGGGGTCATTCCCCCATTGTGTCGGAGTTTAGTTCCCCTCCGCTCCCGTGGGATGGTTGGGCAGTTTACGCTGCAGGGTTGTTGTTTCATTTGTTGCTTATGCCTTCTTTTCCTTTGGCGGTTAGCTGCCGCCCGGCTTGAGGCTTGAAGTAGCTTGCGGGAAGTGTCGGGAGTGCGCGGATACCATGCAGGGCACGGAGGGGCCCCAGAACGCCTACAGCACAACCATGTGTATATACATATACATATATATGTATACAACATACATACATTCATACATACGGACGGACCGACAGACAGACAGACAGGCTTACATACATACTTGCGCACCAACTTACATGCATAGATGTATTTCTTGTGTGTCTGCAGGTGTACTGAATACATACAGATATATACATACATACTTATTATGTATAATTTTTGCCACCCGCCCAGCTGAAACAAGTCGCACCGCAGGGAACTCGTCAGAACTCGTGAGATTGAAGCTGAGATCCCAGGGAAAATACGCATACAACTTCGACACGCCCAGAAACAACTGACAAACATACAGAAAGTGCATGCGTATCATCGCCGGACCTCGGAGACCTAGCACTCACCAAGAAAGCAAGCCACGGTAGCCCCAACGACCCCCTACGAAACCGGTGTGGCTTGCAGTATCCTGGAAAGGGCTTGGCTTTGTACAAGACCTGAGTGGAGATACATTAGGTCAAAGGCATCGGGCAGTATCGGGTCTGTGAGCAACTAAATAGATACCAAGAAACACCAGACTAACAAAGAGTGATAAAGACAAGCTAGGAAACCCAAAGACAAAACCTCGCAGGAAAGGCCCAATTACTAATTACAGGGGGCAGGCACAAGGAGTGCCAATTAAAACGTGCAACTCGGCACGAGTATGACAAGAGTAGCTTATACTAAGACAGAAATGAAAAACATAACGCTGCCGAGTGCATCAGTTTGAGGATCTGCTTCACTCACAACTAACCATCGCTCAGGCTGACCTCTCAGGTGCTCAGTTTCGGCGGTCAGTCTCTGCAGCTCGGCAGCATGGTCCGCACACCCACATTGGCTACCCCCAGATCGTGACAGAGAGAGGGTCCAGAGCTGCAGCAAAATCTCAAGCCGTGGAGTCACCAGATAGCATCAGCCATTTGAGCGCATAGCTTGGCGCCAGCACGGAGTAGCCACAGCTACGATGGCTTGCAGCAGTAGGCGCCAGGACAATGTTTGTCAACAGCCGAGCTGAATGCACCCGGAATCATAACTGCCAACTAACAGCCTCGCGCATACCTCAGACAGGATGTTAACCCCAATTGTCGGGTTGGTCCTCAGGTTGGAGCAAAGCATGTCTGCGTAATCGCCGAAGTAGTAGTGGTAGGTAGCGAGGACCCTCAGTGTGTAGCCAGCCCAGGTTGTGCAGTGCCTCTGTGTTATGAAGTCCAGAATGGCCAGAACTTGGCTTCGACATGGTTCCCCAGGAAAAATCGCAGGTATGATCGTCATCATATATGAGCCAAGGTAGTCCAGGGCATCGTGATGTTGGCCTGTCGAGTCGCTGAGGAGCCCTTTGCTTGCAAAGGCCGTAGTAGGGCCAGCAACCAAATCGTCGTCAGGTGCAGAGGGGTTGGCAGCACTCAGGAATCAGAGAAAGGCAGCGTATGTATCATAGGATCCTCTGCCAGAATGACGAGTCCATGGCGGCACCGATTGACTAGCGGAGTATGCGAAAGAATGATTGTGAAGAGTGGAGAAGAGGAGATGAGGGAAGTGAAAAGCGAGGGAGAGAAAGGGGTACTGACTTGTTCGGATCTTTTTTTTGTGGGGCTTGCAGGCTTGCAGACAGGAATTAGGTAATTAACGAATTAGGGAATTAGACGAGGGACCTGTGGCGCAACGAGTGTCAATTAGACGACGCGAGAGGAATTAGAGATGCAGGGACCGTAAACGCACGAATTAGAGGCTCAATTAAGGGGCTGCTCAGGAGCCGGAAAGGGATCTTGCACCCCTTGTATCGGCTCCGGAGGGAGACCAGGAAATCATGTAAAGACGAGCTCCGGGATGGACTCGTCGCCTTCCTCATCCGAGATCTCGAAATTGGCGTCCTGTGATGAGACCGCATCTTCCTGTTGGCGGTCTCGGGCAAACATGGCGGGGAGTTTGGTTTGTTTCACCGCATATTCCCCATAGTAAACCGAGAGCCTGTAGCTGTTCAGTTCATGCGAGGAGGCGGGAGGCCTGAACCCCATGAGCGCCAAAGTAGTATTGAAGTACATGTGATTCTGGGTTGCAAGTTGAGGGGCCCAGGCTGTTAGGATGCGGCGTTCATCGCCGTGCCAGCGTTCCGTGCCATGAAGCAGAAGTCTGGAACTAAAAAGACATGGCTTATGTAGGACGTTGACGAAAGTGCCAAGTCGGACGTCCTCAGTGCCGGGTCTCCAACCTTCAACGGAGCCTGATGGATTTTCGATCCAGATTCGTCCGTTTGTATAGTGAGAGAGTCCGATGAGCAGTGAGGGGGCCCAAGAGTTACGATCGTCTGTGTGGCACGGTTTACCAGGGCCAAGCCTGATGGAAGCCGAAGTAAATGGGACCTCTTCCGGCTGAACTGATCGAACGAAAGCACAGACAGCCTGTGTGAAACCTGGGTGTGAATCCGTAAGGCGTGTCAGGGTGTTAGAAAGTCGGGTAGTCTGTCCCAACAGCAAAAATCTGTTCTCACCCTCGTCCAAATCCCAAAACTTCTTAGGAACCGAATCCGAAATCTGCGCAAGAGCCAAGCAGCGGTCCTCCAAGTTGAGGGTAAGGTGGTTTAGGATGAAGCTTTCGGAGAGGGCTTCTAGGGATTTGTTGGTGGGAGCGAACTCTATGTCGTCAGGAGATTCCGGATCGTTTGCTCGGGGGTTCGGGTACTTTTGCTTTTTGGGAGGAGACTGTGAGTCAGGAGTTAAGTCCTGGTCGGTCGCCAGATGGCGTAGGTCCTGGGAGGATTGTGCTTCGTTGGCCGGGTTAGCGGCATTGCCTGCGTCCTGAGCGGAGGGGTCAAGGGTATCGGCTAAGGCAGGGTCAGAGGGAGGCCATGAGGCGGAGTCATCCTGTGTTTCAGCAAAGGGTTCCATGGTCAGGCAAGGAGTCAGGTGCTATAGAGCCTGAGCTGCAGGAGCAAGGGATGTCGGTGGGGTACCTGGGTGTGGGTGCTTTGGCGACTGGCTTCATGTTTTTTTTGTTTTGGGCAAGTCTGCTTTTGGGTGTTGGGGTAGGTTCGAGTATGTAGGAGGGATTGCTAAAAGGTGCTAGTCTGAGCAGTTAAGGTCTCAAAAGGAGCTAAGAATCACTAGTCTTCGGGTACCGAATTCAAAGGGGTTAAGCAGGGGTGAAAGACACGATCTAGATATAGGTCGATAGATGAAGGGGGGAGTGGGAAATTAGGACTAAGGCGTGGGGGTGTGGCTAAAGGAAAAGTCGAGGTTCGTAGGCATTGCTCTGAGCACTCAGGCTTTTTCGCAGCACACGCAGCAGTCGGCGGCCATTTGTCATTACGGATTACAAATTACAATGAATTACGCGGTGAACATGCAAAGGAATTACGTGGTGCACCTGCAACGTCGAGAAAGCACACGAAGGACGACAGTGAGAAGCAAAGCAGGTAGTGAAATAAGACTGTCAGCAGAGAGGCAACTACTGTGGTGGGTATTGCATAGCACCACCGAGCAAGCTAGCCATAAGGTTTAGAGCATCCTGGGCGCGAGGGTCTAAATAAGCTGGTGGGCCCATGCCCCACCTAGGGGGATTGCTCATGTTCCCAAACAGCTGAACCTGTTGCCGCGCCGGCATGTTCTCATGTAGTCGTAGGATCGGAGCTGTGCTAGAACCCGGCTCAGCGGTCGTAGGAGGCGAGAAAGTTTGCGGCGCCTGCGCCGGCATTGGCGGCGTGGCGCTGGAAGCGGGAGTCGATGCAGGCTGTGAAGAAGCCGGTCCTGACGGTGCCGTAGTCGGTGCTGTGGTTGTAGTAGACCCCGGCGTGGGTGGAGGAGGGGCTTTAGTAGGCATCGGCGGAGTCAGGCGAACCGCAATCTTCTCGAGCTGGCCTTGGATTGCCTTGACACTCTCGCTGTGACGTTTCATCTTCTCGTCAATGGAGCCGGTGATGTCCTGAATCGCATTGAGGACGTCGGCTTGGCCCCATTGCGTGTTGCCGATGCCTTGCACCTGGTGCAGGGACGGCATGGCCTCGTTGCGGAAGTTAGTGACCAGGGAGCACGCCTGCTTCAACATGGTTCATGACAGCGTGAAGTTGGCTTGATAGCTCCATTCTCGAGTCCACTGCGCTAGCGAGGGAGGCCTGGAGCTCTTGCAAGGTGGTCATCACCTGGGCGGTCCAATCGGGGCCGCAGGAATCCACAAGGGTAGCGAGCTCCACTTGGATCTTGGTCTGTAAATCAATGACCGTGGTCACCCGGGAGACTAGCTCCCCCTCGAGCCATTGCTGCAGTGAGCCTTGTAAATCGTCAAGGGCGCCCTGCGTGATGGAAGCCTGGTTCAGCAATTTTGTCGGCTGTAAGCTGAGAAAAAGCTTCCGGAGCTGAGTGAGCGGAGACTGTTCATCAGTGGGTCCATGCAAGATCCCTTTGATCACATGCATCGAATTTGTAAGCAAGGTGGCCGGCTTTGCATGATCGTCCAGCTTGTCCTGGAGGATCTGGTTGTGTTGGCGCGCGAGTCCTGCCAGTGTTTGCTCGAGGTTGTCGAGCAGTCGTTGCAAGCTAGCTTCCGAGAGCAGCGAGGGCACCGTGGACTCGGCGAGGTGCTTCACCTGGTTCTGTACATCATCGAGTGTGGCGCGGACCTTCTCCCACTGTCCATCCAGCTTGGCTTCCATCTGTATCTGGAGGCGGCGTTCAAAGAGCTT